CTCTCTCTCTCTCTCTCTCTCTCTCTCTCTCTCTCTCTCTCTCTCTGTCTCTATCATTGCGAGTGGTTGTTGGACAGTGACCGCAGCAGACGCAAACAGCGCTCAACACGGCGGCACAGCAGACACAAAAGGAGAAAAACAAAAACCACGGACAAACGGGAAGAAAACCGAACTTTTCAAAAAAATAAAAATAAATTAGAAGCAGAATTCCATCCGGGTCCAACAAAAATACGCTCTCGAAATATGATAAACTACAATTATAAATTTTCCATGTAACGATTATATGATCATTTTATTGTGTAACGCAGTTTATTTCAAATATATTGTAAAGCTCTTGCAGATCCACATTTTTTCCTGCTGAAGAATACATCACAACGAAGTGGGGGCAATTGCGCTGCCTCCGCGCCCATTTTAAGTAAGATTATCGCTAGAGTATAGGAGATTCGGTAGGGAGAGGGAAGAAGGGAGTAGTCGCAGCAGTCAACCCAAATCATGTTCGAATAACGCTGTCCCCGGCGGTCCCCGGTGCCCTCTGCTGACGCAATGCCCCAGGAACAGCCGGGCTGGAGAAGCTCCGCGGCGCTGGACGAACGCGTCGGGCTGATGGCCATTCATTACCGAGGGACTTCATTTGCGCCCCACCGGTGGGAATAGCGGGCCTCCCGGCGGCGCAGGGCGGCGCAGGGCGGCGGCGTCCAGCTGATGAGGCAATACCTTGCAATGCCCGCCCGGCCAGCGCTGCCCGTGCCGCTCGCGCCCTCCCAGTCCCAGGCCTCAGTCTCGCGTCGGCCCGGCGAGCGGGACTCTGCTCAGCCCATGGGATGCACTCTCCTGTATCTGGGGTGTGGGGCGGCCGCCAACCCTCTCCCCACCACAATGTGCGCCACCGCGGGTCTTACATTAGACAAAGAAGGATACTTTGGTCTATAGTGTCGGTCCACTGTTGTGACCCATTGTGACGCAGCCTGACACATAGTGCCTAGATATGATATGTGCGCGTTTGCTTACCCTGGGGCCATGGTGCCTTACGGATAGACCGAGTAGGCCAACCCGCATACCGTTGTGTCGTAGCCCTGACGGTACAGGGAAGAGCCAGGATACAGGACGTGCCCCACCCATAGGATTGGGCGGTCCTTGTGCACTGCTTTTAGCATAGTAGCCTGCATGGGACAGGGGTTTCACCACAAGCTGCACTCTCCCACCGGAATGAAAGAAACCATGTCTCCTGTGAGTATAGGCAAATTCACCCGCGCCAGCATGTGCACAGAAACTCCCCGGGCTTGAGAAAGCCCCGGGCAAGCAACACCCATGACGGTGATGAGGGAGCAGTGCAGACGCAGTGCAGAAGCAGTGCGAGAGGCAGCCATACCGGAGTTTGAATGGGGATGAATGAGGAGCGAGGCTCGGGGCCGGGCGGCTAGGCCAGGTACGGGGGCCGCTGGGGCCGGGCGGGCGGCAGGTGAGCGGGTGACAAAGGGCGGCGGGCCGTGCAGCCGGACTGGAGCACCTCGCCGCTGCTCCCCGGGCTGCGCTGGCTATGCGTGCCTAAGGGCGCCGCGTGCTTCCTCCTAAGGGTCGCTCGGTGAGCAACCCGACGCACCCCCTAGAGTTTTACGTTGGTGGCGTGGTGAGGGCGCCGCCGTGACCCCCGCCCCCCAGGTGCCCTGGAGGTCTCGTGGTCCCCGCCTGGTCCCCGCGAGGCCGCCGCCGCCGCGGCGCGGACCGCCTAGGACCGCCCCGTGCCGTGCGGGGGTTGCGGGGGCCTGGCTGCGGGTGGCTGCCAGCCCCGGCTGGCCGAGCCGCGCGCCTGGGCCGGCGGCGCTGTTGCCGGATTGACGGGCCTGGCAGTGCCCTGGCTGTGCCCTGGCAGTGCCGCGCTGGGCCCCATGCGGGGCCGCCCCGCCCGGGCTGGCAGCCTGCGCGGCCGGGGCCGTTACCGGGGCCGAGTAGGGCCTAGCCGTGGGGCCACCAGCGGGTCATGCCGTTCAATGGAAGTGCAACGCACAAGGCCTCCCCTGGCGCCCACCCCCCAAGTTCAACAACACCGGGTGGCTGGAGGGTCTTCCCTGCAGCCTGCGGCGCCGTGCGGGTAGGCCACCCGGCGGCACGCCTGCCTGCGGTACAGTATAGCGACGCCAGCTCTACCACAGCATGTTATTATTGTGACGGAGCAGGCTCGTGTAAAGACACGGAGGTTTTTGTCTCATCTCCGGGTAACGCTCGCTGGGGCACAAAAAGGACGATTACAGATTATCGCGGCCTGGGGGATGTCCCGACATGCACAACGGGCCAAACACGGCGTGTTTCGGGAGGTCCGACTTTATTTACGGTTCTGATACAGATCGAGTCTACTTGTTTGGGAATCACGGGCTATTCTTGGAGGTCGTTCATGGAGAAAACAACTACTTTGTTAGTATCAGGAAGTTTCATTAATTTTGTGAATGGCGTCGCTGTGGGCGGGGAGGGGGGGGGGCTGTGTCGGCCCGTCAGCGCAGTGAGACATGTCAGCGGACACATGTCAGAGCGCAGGACTGACAGGGAAAGGGGGAGGGGGCAGACAGAGAGAGGTGGCAAAAACAAGGGAGAGAATGCCCAGACGAGCAAGCAAGCACAGCTTACCAGCGTGCTTACCAGCTTACCACAGGCCCTCAGCAGATAACAGAGGGACAACAGATTTGCAAACAAGATACCCTCGCTAGCAGCTTCCACTATCCGGTTTTCGCTAAGATGAGCACTATACATACATCTGAAATACAGACTATAGACAGAGAAGCGGGTGTCTTATGCTGACAGCAGAGGAGCCACAAAGGAATTGTCACAATGTTGGTAGTCATATCTTCAAGATAAAATTTTTTATCATTGTAATGCGGCAATTACTGGAAAGTTATTCTTAAGGGTGATGCTGAGAAAAAATTCTACAGGTTCAATGAAAACTTCAGTGATAACACTGATTGCTGCCAGCTAATTTTGAATTTTAACCTTTTCTACCTTTGAGTTGCAGGTTATGTTGATTAAAGAAAAGGTCTTTTTTGTTGAATACTACACAAAAAAACTTCAAACTGTGAGCAAATTACTAGAGAGAAACAATTATATGAGGCCTCAGATTAGGAAAATTTAGCAATGACATGAACGTGCATTGTTGAGTTCCCTACTCACAATAAAGAATGGGGATCCAGTGTCAATCAGTTACTATTTAATGACTAGGAACCGTGAAGGCAAAAACACCAAACATACCTAGCACCTTTCTAAAGGCAACAGTTATAGAAGTAACCGTCGAACAACTTACCTCGGGTAAAGGTCAACGTCTCAAGTGCAGCAGACGCCTTACTCCAGGTGAAGAAAAAATCCACAATCGCAAAAGTAAACACACGGCACTTAATTTCCCACAGCGTAGGACACTTGGAACTCCAAACTAGCAGGCACAAGATGCCAGGCTGATTCCCTCACGAAGAGAAAGGAATTTGTGTCGCAGGGAATCACAAAAACAACACAACACACTCGACGCCGAGCACTGCAAAGGCGAGATATACACGGACGTCGTGTCCCTTGCGCCTCCGGACGAGAACTGGCGAAGACGGCCGGACCCGACAGCTGTTTCTGTTTGGGAGCGGAGGGGGCGCTGTGATTGGCTGCGAGCGTGCTGCCAGCGCTGACGTCACGACCAGGGAGACTTCCATCCTGCTCTGTAGTGTCTGGGTCCCCCTATAGCCTCTTGCCCTCCTTCAGAGATCATAATGATCACAAAGAAAATACCCTAGTCAGTAAGAATGTTTTGCCGGGGTAAATTTGAGTAAAGCACGGCATTTATCAATAGTAAATGGTTTAATAGTGCGGCGGCCAGTTTCGTATGGCCACTAGCCATAGGAACACCAAGAAGAGAAAGAAAAGCAGGGCATGAAACTGACACCAGTCGGAATCAAGTCAGAGGAAGTCAAAGTCGCGTTGATTCAAAGTATCCACGCATTTTCCTATGCATATTTTTGTATCTTAAGTCGCAATTTTCAGTATTTAAGTACTTGTAATGTAATATGACTTGCATCTACACAGCGAAAATTAATCGAGGTAAGAAAGTTCTTGGAGTGTGTTGTCAGATGTCACAACAACAGCGGGCAGTCGACATTTGTTTGTATCTCTCCACCAGAAATTATTTGTAGGTATTGCTCCGATATCTGAGAACTGAATGAGACGAAACCTTTATATTTCGTAATTTTAGTTTCCTCTCTTCGTATCTGTTCATGAAAGAGTATTTTTGACTTTGCTAATTAGAACTATGAATGACTATGAGGTATAACCTAACCTATGCTGTCATCTGCTCTATTTAAGTTTTCCGCATTTCTGCTTGTGTTTAGAATTGTGTTTTAATATTAATTCTTATAAAATGTTTGTAATCAGCAAATTAACCCATTCTATCTCTGTTCTTTTTCTTATGTGCGTGTGTGTATTTTTTTAAATAGCATTTTTACTGTAGATTTTGATGTCACTCTTAATTCTTAATATTTTCTCTTTCCATGTAAGTAACGAGACATTGTTATGTCTCTGCCTAGTCTCGATCCTTCACAGTCTTTAGATTTACCCTCACAACCTCCGGTGAGTTTTACTCATTTATTGAATGATAGCTATGATATACTTACTTTTTACATGATCTAATTATTTATCTTTTATTTTAGCCACTTTTGCCAACTGGCACATTACCAACACCAATGGACACTACCCCAAGCCCAGCTATTGTCGGTTCACTAGCCAGTACAAACACAATTTCGCCAATGCAGTTAGGGAATGTTATGCAAGTTCCAAACACGCTATCAAGTGCTCAAAGTGTTGCCCCTACACCAGCACAAGGTAAAAATTGGTAGATTTTTGCATTTTAAAGTTTTCAAAACATTTCACCTTTTAAAAAATACATATATATAATATATAATTTTTTTTCACTAAAAAATGAAATGTTGTCCTCTATACTAGCTTCCTCTTTTTTCCCAGGATCATCCAGTATGAAAAACCTGAGTAATAGTTCAACTGCAGCCAATTCTGTTGCAGACGCACCAGCTCAGGTAAAAAATGATTATCATCATCTGATGTTTCGCAAAGCAAACTTAGTGCTAATCGTATTACTTGGTTTCAGCTTTTGAGCAAGGCACGTCTACAGGATTTAGTCAGAGAAATAGATCCCACCGTTCAGTTAGATGATGAGGTAGAAGAACTTCTTATGCAACTTGCTGATGACTTTGTAGAAACAGCTGTCAACTCGGCCAGTTCATTAGCAAAGCACAGAAAGGCTACTACAATTGATGTCAAGGATGTACAACTTCATCTAGGTATCGCATATAGCTTACTACTCACTGCTATTTCTTGTAATTATATGGATTATTCACAGTCTTTGTGAATTACATCTTACCTCTTGCCTTTCAGAGCGGAATTGGAACATGTGGATACCAGGATTTGGAAATGATGAAATTCGTCCATTCAAGCGTGCTTCTATGACTGAAGCCCATAAACAGCGACTTGCCTTGATTAAGAAAACCTTGAAAAAGTATTAACATCTCGTTCCTGTTTAGACATGTTAGACATGCATTGATCAGAGCAATGGTTTGTCACTTAGTATGTAAATGTTTGTGACACAAGCTATCACAGGTCTGAGAATGGTGTTATAGTTGAGTGGTCTCAAAGAAACAAGAATGGGCTGTAAGGACCCATTGTCTTCTCATGTGATATGAAATGTTACAAATTTTTGTTGTTGTCATATCTGTTTTTATAACTAGAAGGAAAAGTGTTATGTATGTATAATCCTGTGTGTGCAATATTAATTTTCTGTAGGACAACTGGGATGGATGCCTATTTGATGTAAATGGCCACTAAATTAGTTTTTATTTCTAAGTAGAACTGGCTTTTTAACACCGTAAAGATATAAGGGAAAACATGTTATGGTTGTGGTGTCATTTTCCATTTAAAGATATCAAGCATTGTCACTGTAATTTTGGAAAATACTTTTAAAAGTCTGGGATCTTATCCATTTGTTCTTATTCTAATTAAAAAATTACAAATTTTGAAAAATTGTCAAAATGGGTTCTGTTTAATTTGTAATCTTATTTTTATACTGATCATGATCTCAAATGTTGTTTCCTTTTATTTGAGTAAGTGAACTTGTTCCAGAGTTTTAAAATGTGTACATGTACATATTCTGCTCACTCAAGAGTCAAGAAATGCATAGAGTAATATAATTTGTTGTGAGTATCATTAAAACCTTACTGTACATTATTCGCCTTATTCTCTCCACCTCTCATACTCAAATCAACTATACAAAAATCGCATCGGAGATAGAATGAGGGAAATGATATTTGACATTGTTCTCATCAATTTGCAATTGCATGATATGATTTGCTCATCCGGTCATTTTCTTAAATTAAGCTTAGTATTATGCACTGAATGTTTTGATTATCTAATTCTTAACAAAAAATACATAGGCCTGGATGGATCTTAAACTCACATCTGAAATAATTTTGATTACTTTTTACGAATATTTCACATAACATAGCGAGACTTCCCCTGTTCTGACCGCCTAGTTCTACGTTCGCTCATTCAAGCGCTTGAATGAATGAGCTAGCTCATTTGTTGTTGTTGTTGTTGTGTTGTTCATTGTTGGGTGGTAGCCAACACAAGGATGCTTCGTCTGTTCTACCCGCCGTCTTTTATTGATTGCCGTTGGCCTTTTTTTCCTGATTTTGTTTATGATTTGATGATAACCACGGGTAAAGGAGTTAAAATCAGATACTAAAACGTATAGGCACTGCGCTGTTCGTGCAACGCCTCTGGTTTTCGGGCGGTTGCGCATTAGTTCCATTTAGCAGACGACGCGATTCGGGGCCAGCCTGCTGAAAAGTCAACTGAGCTTCTCTCTCCCGTTAAAATCTTTTCCTCCTCAAACGACATCGGATGCGGAGAAAAGTACCTCAAAAAGAAGAATGAGATTAATCCTGCGTCGACCTCTTGTTGGTCCGCGGCGGCGTCCGTCACCTCCGTGTCTGTCCTGAGCTCGGCGGTCCGCCTGACGTCACCACCTGTCCGGCAGCGCAGCCCCTGTCAGTCGGAGCGGTCGCCATTTCGCTGCAGCAGTGTTGCGGGGGCCGTGTTCAATTCGACTCGCCAGTGCGTTGTGTTGTGTGCCGTGTGGTCCGTGTGGTCGCCGAGCTCCGCTGTGCTCAGCTAGTGCCGCCAGTGCAGTGAGCGGGGGCCTTGTTGTGCGAGTGAAGCGCGAGTGTAAAAGCAAACGGCCTCATGATGATGGCGGGGCAGACCATCAATGACAGGTTACTAGCGGCCCGACACAGCATAGCCGGCCAGGGGCTGGCCAAGTCGGTGTGCAAGGCCACCACGGAGGAGATGATCGGGCCCAAGAAGAAACATCTTGATTGTGAGTTTGAGCTTGAGTGTGTTAAAGGGCATTATTTTTGCCCCTACGGGGCGTGTGGGCGTGTCGCAGTGTACGTTGCTTGTTGTGAGTGTCCCCTTGACGGGGGGGAGG